AAAAAAAAAAAAGAAAGAGAGGAAAAAAAATTCAATAATGAAACCGCGAACGACGGCTGCCGCCATGTGTCCCATCCGCCGCCTGCATTCGTGTCACACGACGAGTGCCATTCCGGACTTGTTGGGAATCGGGGTTCGTCTTCCAGTCCACAATGCGTCGTGGATCGTAAACGCGTCGATTGTCACCGTCAAATGCTTCGTGTGGATTTGCGTGAACACCTTTCCTCCTGAATTATACCTGCAGCACGAAGAAAAAAAAAAGAAATGGCGGGAACGAATTAAACTGACAATCGAGAAATGCCAACAAAAAAAAGAATAAAACGATGCCGTTGGAAAGGAATCGCGCGCGCGCACACACAAGTCAGTCAGCCATGAGAAATCTTTTTTTTTTCTTTTCTTTTTCTTTTTCTTTTTCTTTTTCTTTTTCTTTTTCTTTTTCTTTTTCTTTTTCGTTTTTCGTCGTTTCCTCACTTGAAGAAGCGGTCAAACATGCGAGGCACAATCTGCGACGGGCCCTTGCCAAAGAGCTTGTAGACCTCGTCCGCGTCGGGGTTGTACGAGTAGAGGCCGCGGAACTGGCAGCCCGCGTCCCGGAACAGGATGAGGAAGTGCTTCGAGTCCGACTGCTCAATCTCTTCGAGCACGCGGGTCTTGTGGTTGGCGTTCACGGCACCGGGGAACACGCAGTAGTTGACGGCGTTCAGGATGATGCTGCGATTCGACTTGGCCGTGGGCTGCTTGTACAATCTCGGGCCTGTGCACACATAAATACATACATACATGAACATTGTCATCAGGATGATGAGCGAGAGTACAGAGGGCAGAAGAAGAACAATTACAACACTTTATAGTCAACAACCCTGGGTGTATACTCTACACTTTCTACAGGGTCACCATCATTCATTTGTCCTGGCCCTAAACTTGAGACATTGTTCAAGAGTTGGGGGTTCAATTTTTGGGCCACTCTGTGACCTTTTGACAGAGGAGGACACAAGAAATACATTTCATGCTCAAATGTACTGCTTTTTGTATTGAATAAATTTGAACTTCTCCGAATCAAATTTCAAAGGACCAGCCAAAAAAAAATCAAAATTGGGGTGGTTCTGACTTGGAAAGGTTTCAAGTTAGGGAACAAACAGGCATTTTTTCTTTCGGAAAAGGAAGGAAGGCTTGCAGGAAATATTTAAATGGTGATTTTCTGGGCCTTTAATTGCTTCTTGCATGAGTTGACAGGATGCTCAACTTGGAGGCAGGGGTTCAATTGCCCAATTACTATTTCTCTTACTAGCAAAACCCATCAAGTTGCTCTATTTATTGCTTTTCTCTTTCCTGCGTCAAGAAAACAATGGCCAAAAGGCCACAGGAAAATAAAGTTACGGAGGTTTGAGAGGAAAAAGCCTTTGAGTTGGTAAGGTTCTTCATGCATTCCTCCATGAGGGCATTCAGAGATGGACTTCGAAACATGATGTCTATTAAAAGAGCAGAGGCATTCCTCAAGATTTTTTGCGCATTGAAGTTATACATCAAGTGCCATCATGAAGGAATCACCAATGTTTTAACCACAAAAGCTTGCATACTTGTTTTCATGTACAGTACTTTACAATGAAGGAAGATGTCAAGGAAACAAGGAATATTTTTCAAAATACAGAATAGTCAAAATTATCTTGAACTTTATCTTAGCCACATGATATTTTTGTTTGTAAATACAGTGAGACCTTGATATGTGGATGTAATTGGTGCATAAAGAGTGTCCCTAAGTCAAAATGCCCCTAAGTTGAGTCTCATTTTCCCTTAGACTTACATTATATAATTTTTTAATTGGTGTTTCATTTACAAAATACTCACCATAATTCCATGAAAATGGAAATTGTCTCCCAATTTAAACTGATTTAATCAATTTATTTCAACACAATATATGAACATTTGGGGAATTGAATACTGATACCTCTGAACAGTACATAGAAATGTTGGCATTCTCTTAAAAAAAATAAAATTCAAGTCAAAAAGAGAAAAGGAAGTCCCTCTCTGCTGGAGGTAATTTTTTATAATTAGCTAAATGGACATGGTAAATTGGTGAGAGAAATGCCCAAGAACTTTTCTCACATCAATTTTATGGTTGGAAATATCTGTTTCTTGTAATTTGGCATGAAATGTATTTGCAATTTAATACCAAAATGTCCCTACGTCAAGTCAGTGTCCTCATGTTGGGCCTATTTTATTAATTTTTCATTAGAAAATAAGTGTCCCTATGTCAAACTGTCTGCCGGTCAAGGTGTCCGCATGTGGGGGTCTCACTGTATGCCTGCATTTCTGTGATTTTGCCCTCCAACTGATGAAGAAAGATATTTTTTGTGGCACTAAGTGAGTAGTTGGTACTCTATTGGGGTCCCCTTCAAGAACATAATAATGGACGAATATTTACATTTGGGAAATTGATTATTGTACATACTAGGCAAAGGCGGTTGAATACTGCACAGTATTGTACACTACACTTTCAGCATAATAAATTGAAAAGATCAACCACAAGCAATCCAGTTGGGAATTCACCGTTGTAGTCGCAACTGGCAATGGACGACACGTCCGAGGCGCCGTCGTCAAAGTCGCCGCCATACCGGCGTCTGCGCCCCATGTACGGGAGCGACGGAGGGCCGACGGATGAGTTGTGACTCGGCGGTGTGACTCCTCGCACCCGCAAGGGAGCGTTACGCCCGTCTTCCTGGTCAGTCCCTGTTTGGTTTGCCCCGGCAAAAGAAAAGCACAAAAACACGAGTCCTTCAATTTCGCTTCGTGGGACTCATACGCTGTGCACACACAGCAGGCTGGCTTCCATGCATCCATTATTCCTTCACAAACAATCCCATCATAGTCCCGATGAACCCGTGCACAGTACACCAAACCAAACCCAACAAACCAAGCAATAACAACACCACAGACAGGCAGGCAGCTAACCTCATCGTGAGCAAGCCACAATCAATCAAACCAAACACGTGCACACATGCACCTAAACACACAAATGAACACCCAATTTCTGCGTATTATTGTATCCATGATCCAACACGAATCTGTAAAAATAACGAACGTTCAACCCTGTTCAGGAGTCGATTGCACACGAGTAAAGTGAGTTGAATTGAGATCAATTCCATCCTCCCTCCTACTCCTCTGTTCCACAAGACAGTTCCCCCGTTCGATACGAAACTGTTCGTCCCTTGAGCCAGGAAAAATTGCCACCTCCACCTTTCTTATCCCGACCCATAGGAATTCCATGTCCCCATCACCGCCACAAAGAAGCAATTCACGCGGACAGACAAACATGTAGATTCAGAGAGAGAAGGAGTGGGTGCCAAAAATCAGGAAAACCCCCGTCAAAAAAAAAAAAAAAACCACAGTGTGCACAAATCCCTTGTCCGGACAACAGCACTTGGCCGCCGGGTGATGATGATTTGCCAACCAACTGCCAATAATATCCCCTGTACATTACAATAATACAGTACAGTACAACCAATAAGAAGGCCAGAGAGGTCCCCCACGCAGCAGCACAGCTAGAGGTGGCTCACCAGACAAGTTCAAGAGCGAGTTATATTTGCGGTTGGCCTGGCGGGCAGGTGTCCTCCCCGTACTCGGCGACCGGTAGCGGTTTGCCGCCGTCCCGCCTCCGCCACTCATCATGCTGCTGCTGCTCGACACCCCGCGTCGTCCCAGAGTCGCCGACCGTCCCGCTTGCCACGCTCGCCCCTCTTGATCCTCATCTATTTTTTCGCACGCACATACAGTATACCAACTCGCTCGTCATCATGATCCACAGACCCATCATTGCATCCAAGGAAAATCCCCACGTCAATAACACAGACAGACGGAAACGAACAAATAAACAAACAAAAAAACACGCGTCTCCCAAGACGAAAAGCAAATACGAGTTTACTCAAGCAAAGCTTCGCCCCTATGTAAGCGGGATAACGGTGTCTCTGACCAATTTATTTCGCATTTATCCAAATTTAGCCCCCCCTCAACGGCAAAATTCATCTTCACTATCCTGGTGCTGTGCTGCACATCCTTGCATAACTACAAAATTGTCTGTATGTTCTCATTCATCGATGAAGCGTACACAACATTTAGTTTTTTATTTCAAGAATTCCAACCAAGGAAATCTAGGGAGCCAAGAATGAAAAGCTGAATCCTGCCGCCAACAGAAAACCCTTAAACCCTTCCTTTTCTCTTCGTCAGGCAGTAAAAAGAATTCTGACACTAAACCTTCCTTTCCTCATTAAGCCACGAAAAAAAAAAAAACCTGCAACTCCTCGTTAAGCAGCTCAACGCCAAAACGGATACTAAGATTACTTGAAAGACAGGAGCCTTTGAATAACGGTTCATTGCTTCCTGGTGCTCGTCTATTCATGACTCGTACAGAGCTCGGCCAAGTGCAAAGTCAATATGAAACATTCGGGCTTTTCAACTCTTGCGCACGCTCTCTTTTTGAAAAGACTCCAAAGATAAAAAATACATCAGCCCCAGTAATTAAACCAAAACTAAACGTAATATCGGCCCACACTGGCATAGAACCAAAGCGTGAGGGAGCGAAAGAGAATGAAAACTGAAAAGAAATGCCCAAGACCAGAAAAACCTGCGGGTCCGTCCCGCTCCTTCTTCTAGTACACCTCAATGAAAGAGAGAGAGGGATCACAGCAATATAATACGGAACGATGAATATAAGAGACTGCTGGACGACATGCGCAACGATTCGCTTGCTCCAAGATGCTTCAATACAGTACACTTTCGTCGCTAATAAAACGGCCTACGCCTCTATATATACGAGTAACCCACTGACAGAACAAATTGAGGTTCCCCGCTTCCTCATCTTTCCTTCCTTTCATTGATTCTTTCACCCATCCACTCACTCACTCACTCACTCACCATGCAAATAGAGGTCGGAGCCGGTCTTGGACCGTGTTCGGCCGGAATGGGCGCCGTAACGCAACGTGGCGCCGTAATCTAGAGCGGGTACGCGGAGAAGAACACAAAGCGATACACCTCGGTCATCATCATGCAGGTTCCAAACGTACTCGTAGACCGACAAACAAACAAGCAATCAATCAATTAATCATTCAGTGGGCGGCCATATTTGGGGAGATGCAAGAGTTACGAATACGGTACTGCATTACTCGACTCTCTCTAATCAAGCAGCAGGCAGGAAGAGCAGGAGAAAGCGTCAGGCAGGGCGAAGGGCGGCGGGGGGGTCGGACGTCGACGAGTTGAGTTTCACACTCAGCGTTCCTTCGAGCGGTGATTTCCACAATGGATGCATCTCAAGTGAACCCGGTTTCAACCCGCGGACTCGATGACCACACAACAATCCCCTAGCTCTCTTTTTCGTTCTTCCTCTCTCTTAAGCCCGACACGGCAAATTCGGGATCACTGGACCTATTCCGAATCCCATGGCTTCGATACGCTTCCAACACACGATATTCCCCACGTATTCCGGCAAGACAACATGACCCAGAATTCCTCATACTATCACAGACAAGCGTCAAGAGAACCAAACTCTGACAAAGAATCTTAAAAACAAAAACAAGAAAAGTAACGGCCCTTCAGTTCAGAAGAGACACATTTTTGACAACAGGAAACCAAAACTATCGAACCATTTCCGGAGCAAATGAAGTCCGTGAATTTAGAGGGATTTTTCCCTTTTCCATACACTGCGTCATTTGACGCATTTAAAAACTCCACTCAAGATGGGTAAAAAAGCACACATCGTTACGCATTTAATTTTTGGCCTCAGAGATGGATGGATGGAAGGAAGGAAGAATCTTGGCATCATCATCACCGTGATCATGGAACCATCGCGCAGATAAACAACCGACATTCTTTCTATAAAAGATGAGAATGAACACCAGCCAGGAAACAATCCAATCCTTAGCGAGTTAGTGGCTAAAATCACTATAATTGGAGAAGCCAGCGCATGAAGTAGACAGACAAGTGGTTGGTTGGTTGGTTTTTCGGTTGGTTAAAGAAAAGGACACGGTTCGAAGAAATCCCTCTCATAGCTCGGGAAGAACTGGGACATGTCCCACAACAGCACTCGAAGGTCTTCAGGTTAGCATAGGCAAACGTCGAGAGCGAGTTAGTTTTAATCTCTCCCACACAAGAATTTCCGTCATTTTTCCTTCTTCGCTCATCTTCGGCCAAGCAAATTTCCTCAGGCGCAGAACCACGTACACCGCTCCGTTAATAATACCAAATGACACCCATTCCTCATCTCCCTCTGTCATCTCTTTTCTTTTCCCCGAGGTTTCTTCTCATTTCTGCTCGCTCGTTTTACGGGTGTTTTAATCAAGGCGGGGTAGTCGGGGAATTAATTGACCAAACGGGTGCCATCAGTATAGAGCAGATGATGATGATGATGATACCTCTGTTCGGGGACACAAGGCTAGTTAACCCGCTTATGGTCCTACGCCTCGGATCTCCTGCCCCACCACGGGACACCCGGTATGTCCGACGCAGGCTGTCGCTCCGACGGATTCCCGTCGTCCCTCCTCCTCCTCCTCCAGCGCCGCCAGCTCCTGACGACGTCGTCCCGCCGCCGCCGACATCTTCCGCACCAGCGCAACAAAACACGATAATTGACCGTCTCTCGCAAGATCATTATGACAACAAGGGCTAAAACAAAACTCCAGCCATCATGCGTTCAACAGCCTCAACACGCATTATCAACAGGTGGGCCCGGGGATAAGAGGAAAAGAAAGGAAAATTCTCCAGCTGCTGTCTGTGTCTCGCCCAGGACACGCAATAAAGGAACAACAAAAATGCATGACAATAATATCGAGGCAGGGTAACATAACATTCGCAAAAACTGGCCATGGAATCACAGATATTTTGTCAAATGAACGAAAACATGGTACAGTATATGAACAGACAAAAACGCACCTGTCGGCGTCACGGCAGACGCGAGATTCCCTGCACTCTTCCTCAACGAGTCCCTACGCGGTCCCGGCGACGTTCCGGAATCTGTACCCGAGTCATGCAACGAACCACAACAAATATGCAACGAGATACAATCAACAAAGAGGTAACGGTGCGCCGTGTGCAACGAAAATCGAAACTGAAACGGCAGAAACATCAACGCACAATCCGACGAAAACGCTCAATCAACTCTTTGCATCTTTTCGACAAATTGTTTCAATCGATCAAATCTATTGATAAAAACAAGCAAGAAATAATCCCACGCACCAATTATACCACGCGGAATGTCTCTTGAGCGTTTCCGTCGAAATGAATGGATGAATAAAGAACACTGTATAGGCATCATGTGGGGTTAGATCATGAAATTGGTGAAGAGGTGGTGTACCTGAAATGTCTTGCGAAGAACCGAGTCGACGGCCTCGCGACGGGGCAATGCGTCCGCTCACAGTGTATTCCACGCCTCCACTAGATGCCGCCGCCTTCCGCCCCAGCGCCGCCTCGTGCATTGACTTTGGCCTCGGTTTCGCCGGACCACCACGGTTCCGCATCACTGGCGTCTTCCCCAGACCCTCCGGCATTTCGAAATTCCGTCCCTGGATTAAAAAAAAAATCATTTGAAATCACATAAACAAAAGAAAGACACCTGACGATGCAAAAGGACAGAAGGAAATGCAGTACAAGGAAGCCAAAGCCACAGCCACAGCCACACACACACACACACACACACCTCTTCTTCAGCCTTCTCCATGGCCTTCTTGAGCCGGTACTGGTCGAGAATGGCTTGTCGTCGGGCCTTCTCCTCTTCCTTCTTCCGCATCTTCTCCTCCTCCTTCTGGTTCTCCAGTTCCCGCTTCGCCTGCAACTCCGCCTCTCGCTTCAGTTTCATCTTCTCCTGCTCGTCCTTCCGCTTCAGGCTTTGCATCAGGAACCTTTCCTTCTTCCGCTCCAACTCCTCCGCAGTTTCCTTCATGAAATGAAGACGCAATGAGGCACATCAAGTTGACGTGATTGACCATTACGACAATGAACAAAAAATATTGCAGTCTCGACTCACGGGATCATTATTTTCATCTTCCACGTCGACGACGAGTCCACCTGACGCGACACCCGTTGTTGTTCCTCCTCCTCCTCCACGGCCGGAATCGGATGCCGGACGCGGACTCGTCCAGCCGCCATCGGCTTCGCACCGACGCACAAAGTCCGCGTCGGCCATCTTCTCGTACTTGCGGGCCAGCGCGTACATCTCTTCGATAGGGGCGTTGGAGTCAATGTCCGCGTTGGAGCTGGACACGTCCGAGGAAGACTGCGGGGAAAGCAGCTTGTGCTCCGTCAACAACTTGCTCTTGGGCGGCACTGCGGGCTTCACTCGTCCCAGGCTGGCCGTCGACGCCGCAACCTCGGCTGTCCGCATGTTCTTGATGGACAACGGCGCCTGACTAGTCGTCTTCCGGCTTCTGGCGCAAAATCACACAAACACAAAAACCAGTCAATCACACCAATTTGATCATTTCACGCGATGAATAACTTAGGGGGGAAACTTAGGAAAAAAACTGCGCCATATCAATCATTCTTCCATACATGGAATCACGTCACTCACTTGATCGTGGCACTCCGGTCGTCGTCCGGGTCACCACCAGCGTCGACACTCGCCAAAAGTCGGTCCAGCGTGACAGACGAATCCTTTTTCGTCGGCAACTGGGCCCCCGCGTTTCGCAGGTGTGGAGGCTTGCCTCTCTTGGGACTCTCGTCATCGAAGCTAATGTAGAAACCCAAGTCTGCTTTCCCGTCCTTCAACGGCTCTGCTATCACTTCCGGCAACTCCTCCTCCGGCTCGGCAACTGAAGACAAAACAAAACGCAAAAGAAAAAAGGTGCATCACACTCTGACTGAATCTCTAGTCTTGAAATCAAACGTGAAAAGAAGCAAGAAATTCTCAACGCTCTCAAGAAAAGAAGAACTCACTGCGCTCCTTCTTGTTCTCCTTGTCCGCTCGCAAGTCAATCTTCCTCGGCACCTTGATGGAGTTGATGGACGTCGGCGGGGACGGAAGACCCAGGGCTTCCGGGTGATGGATCCTGTACGTCTTGGACCCGTCCTGAATTGATCTCGGCCCAGTGCCACCGGTGGAACTGGTGCTGCTACTGGTACCCATGCCACCTCCGCCTACACCACTACCACTACCAACACCGGGGCTGGGTGAAGAGCCAATGAAAGACACGCTCTGCGGGGCCATGTCGTCGGCAGAAGGGACTGGGACAGCCGACGACGACGATGACTGCAGCGACGTTGGCTCCGGCGAAGACATGCCAGCCAACGAAGGTGTCGCTGCCGGGGACTTGGAGCGGCGATTCCACGTCGGCGACGGCGAACCGGGCGACGGAGACTGATGTAACCTGCAGTAAGTAGGTAGGACGACAAAAAAATCGTTGTACATCTTTTCCATCGACATCGAGTTACAGTTCACTGCATTCGAAAACTATGTTTCCACGCAAGAGAAACTAAATAAAAAAGTATTCAGTTCTGCTTTTTCCATCATTTTTCACCTCGATAAAATCAGCAGACAAAATTAAATTCCACGATTGACTTCCATGAAACCAGAGAGACAGACAGACAGACAGACAAAAATGCAAAACAATTCAAATCACCGAAATGGAGAGGACGGAGGATTCTGAGATTGCTGCAGCAAAGGTGGATGCGGTGCAGTGTAGCCACCCCAGGACGGGGAAGATGACGGCGGTTGGTTATTGAGACTAGTGACCACAGAAGGGATGTAGCCGTCTCCACTCAGCCCGTGCTGCTGCTGTTGCTGCTGCGGCGTCAACGGCTGCTGCGGAGGTCCCCAAGTCCGTCTCGGGGTCGTCGTCGTCGTCGTCTGCTGCTGTTGCTGCATGTGGTGGTGGTGCGAAGGCGACTGATGAAGCTGCATCTGCCAAAAATCATCATTATTCATTCATCGCGTCGATTGCAACTACGTTCAGATACAGTAGTTAAAAAAAAAAAGAGGGATAATGAATCGACATTTGCATTATTTTCCAACTAACCGGTGCCTGTTGCATAACACCAGGACTCTGGTACTGCTGCTGCTGCTGCTGTTGTTGTTGCTCCATCGATGAAGGCCCACCCCACTGCCTTCTTCCGTAGCCGTTCTGCAGGAAAAACGGAGAAGACTGGAGGTGATTTTGGTGCTGCACCGCTGGTTGTTGCATGTGCTGCATCCCGCCAGCTTGTTGATGCAGGTGGTGATGGTGTTGCTGTTGGTGTTGCTGCTGTTGTTGTTGTTGTTGTTGTTGTTGCTGCTGCTGCATCAGCATAAGATTGGTAAGCTCCTGTTGCTTCATGCTGAGTCTACGAAAGTCCTCTTGCAAATCTGCCAAAGAGTTCATCACTGCCAGACTTTGCTGGTACTCGATCTCCGGCTCGGAATGTTGCGCAAGGGGCCATTTGGGTTGCTCCGGTTCCTGTGTAACACGCAAACATCACATTTAATCGCGTCTGACATCACCATTCAGGGAAAAAAAAGCGTCGCCTCATACTCATACCATTATGACGTGCAACACTAGGATTGACTCAAATTGTGGAACGCAAATGAATTTTCAGGAAGTTGCACAGTAACTAAACTATAGGCTACAGTACTTCGGCCGAGATTCGGAATCGAATAGAATTTAAACCAGAATTAGACAAAAAATAAATAAAATACCCCGAATAATCCGTCAATGGTTCAGCCATGTCCATATTCATGCATACTTTTCGCGGATAAAATACTATGTAAGTGAGATAATCTCGAATGAACGACCCACAATTGCGTAATTTTCTCAAATAACGGTTTTTCGCCTCGGAATTTTAACGCACTTCGGTTTATATTATGTACGACCGTCCGTGCAATCAGGAAGTAATATCGTGAAAAACAGATGGAACAAGTACGCAAACGGATACGATATTCATCCACCAAATTCAACTTCCCGGATAGGGCGCGGCTCACACGATTTTTCTCAATCAATTACTTCAGTCTTCTTCACCACCCGCGATTAGCTAGCTCTTTTATAAAGGCGTACGACACTGGAAAGCTCAATCGTTGGGGAGTCCAGCAGAATTCTCCAAATCCGAGATAATATTCATTCATAAAACTTGGAAAAAAGTCTTTGCATCCGAAAAATGATTCTCCTCAACTTCGGCCCGAATCGACCAGCTGGGTCTCAGCTTTCCCCACTAACTACACGCACCACACGAGCAAAGTCTCGTTTGCCATTTCCTCTCTGATTTTTCGGTTCCATGTTTTTCAAAAATGAGCATTCAAATTAATTTAGCGGGTAAAAAATTCTTTCTTTCCTTCATTGTTTGTGAGTTAGGAGGATACCTCGTAACAGAAAAGAACAAGAATCGAGCAATTGCTCTTACTATAATACAGTACAGTACTTCAATACTGAATTACCACCACCACGAAAAGGCGACGACAGGATAGCAAGGAGAAAACATTGGTAGGCAAGCAGCGAATAACAAAAACAAAAAAGCATCATCATCATCGAACTACAGCAGTTTTACCTTGAGGCGAAACGGCGGCTGATTAGAATCGTGGTTAGTCGCGGCGACGGCAGACCCATCGGCCAGGATCTCAATGGAATCCACGAAGCTGACAACATCATCGAGCGCGAGACCCGTGTTGTTATTCACCCCATCACCGTCTCCTGGCCTCGTCTGTCCCCCGCCAAACGAACACACACACATGGAACCCATTCATATAGGAAGAGAAATCATTTCCCGAAACCAAAAAAACAATCAATCAATGCATCAATCAATCAATCACCAAAACGACGACGATGACGACGACGACCACCATCCACCAAAACGAAAAAGAAGCAAAAAAACACATTTCTCTCCCTTTCTCTCTCTAATAGTTTTGTCTCTTCGACTATTAGAAACAACGATTTAAACGATTCCACAGGCAAATCAAGTAAACCCCAGTCCTTTCGTCGTCGTCGTCGTCGTCGTCGTCGTCGTCGCCGTTGTTGTTGTTGTTAATAAATTTGAAAATTACAAGCGGAAGCTTATTCGTCACCAACCACTAATCATCCAGTCACTCACAGAATAAAACTGCATGGTACAAACAACTGGACACACACGCACCTTGTGAAGAGCGTGCATGAAGGCCTGTTTGCCCACGTGCTGCTTCCTCAGGGCCACCCCAGCCTCCACCTTCCGCTTCTCCGCCTCAATCTTGCGCTTGTTCTCTTCCAACTGCAACCGCACGTTGGTTATCTCCGCCGCCACACTCGGTGGTGCACTCGTCATATTCGACATTGGCTTCCTCGGCGGAACGACAACCTTCTTGGTCGAAGTCCCGCTGCCACTGCCCGTCGACGGCTGGCGCATAAAATTGATGTTGATGGTGCTCTGCGAAGTGGGCAAATCGGCAAAGCTCACGGGCCGCGACCCGGACGCCGTCAAGTCTCTCATGTGTGGTGACGGCGGCGGCGGCTGCTCAACATCTGAGTCGTCCATCGGCGAAGGTGACTTGGACAGATGACGATGATGATGTTGTTGGTACTCTGTTGGCGGGTATTGCTGAGGCTGTTGCTGCTGGACAAGTGGGGATTCGCCACCAAAGCCCGACGACGACGATCGCCGCCGTCTGCGTCGGTTGGCCAACGCATCCTCGTCGTCCTGCACCAGTCCGTCGCCGAGCTCAATGGTGGACTGCAAGTCGCTGTTCTTGCGTCGAATGGCCGCCGCGGCAGCTCGGGCGTCGGCTCTCGCATCCACCGCTGCTCGTCCCGACGTCGTCTGGCCCAGTTCCTTGTCCGGGTTCCGCGACAACAAGTGGAGGTTGTCCGTGCTGCCGCCAAAATTCTCCCACGTCAACTGGCTCTCTTCACTAAACGAGTTGCGTCGAGATCGGATCGTGCCGCCACTGCCGCCGCCGCCACCACCCGCCGCCGGACGGTCCGACGGCTTCCCCGCTGCTCGACTCGAGTCCAACGTCGCCGCTGCCGATTGGACATCGTCATCTATCCGATTCCCACCACCACCACCACCTCCTGCAGACGATTGCAGCCTTGATATTCGCTGGGCCAGCGTAGGAATGGCCTTCCGCTTGTGCACCACGAAGCCCTCGTCGTCGTCGACGTTGTTACTGTTACTACCACCACCTCCAACACCGCCGCCGCCACCAGTCCCGACGTCCGCCGATCTCCTTGTCCTCGACGAGTCGTCATCTGTCCCAGAGTCGTCGACGCACTTGCCCCGACTGCAAAAACAAGTACACATTCAGTATTGTATCCAAGCAAAAAACCAACAACAACAATAAAACGGTGAACTGTATTTGCACTGCATATACCTCGACGAACGACCGGAATCAAACTGCTCGTGGTCCGACAACTGCTTATTCCTCTCCTTGAGAGACGTCCTCCCACTCGACTGCCGCTGAAACGACTCTGCAAAAAGCGTCAACAGACAAACAAACATTTCATTTCCGATAACCAAATAGTGAGAAGAACAATGAAGAAACCAACCGTGTGGCGAAGAGTCGTTGCCATTGGAATTGCCCGAATTGAACCGACTTCGTCTTCCCCCGGACCGGTGGTCGTTCTGGGTTCCGGAATGAAAGGGCTGCTTGTTGTTCCCGGTGTGATCCAAACTGGGTCGCAAATCCGGGATCGGACTCACGTTCTGCTGATAATTCAACTTGGGCGTGAAGGCTGGCACTCCTCCACTCCGTCGCGGTGCTGCAAGATAAAAAAAAAAAAAACATGATTTACCAATTAATCAAATGCAGCAGAAAAAAAGCAGAGTATTCCTATTTATGAGAATAAAAGCAACAGAACTTATTGGCACACGCGGGGAGAAGAAAAAGTGATCAAGTCAAATCATTTGCAGAGATCCCCCGCTAAGAGCATGAAAATCAAGATGGCGGTAAAAAAAACAAACAAGGAACCGACTCAACATCCATGTACAGTACATTGAAACATGGAAGAATTCTTGCCGATCTCGTTTCCACTCACTGTAAAACAACTCTCTTTCCATCATTTCATATTACAGTACTGTATTTGGGGAAGCACATCATCAGCATCATCATCATCATCATAAACTCTGAAATGTGCAATGACAAGCAAAAGTTCCTAGTCTTCACAAGCATCCCTCATCAAGAGTTAAAATACCTGAGCAGTACAGTAAATTCTCATTCATTCATTCAATCATTCAATTCACCATGGTTCGAGAGCAAAGTACTGTATTTGATTTTCTACTCGATGTTGGCATTTCCAGTTTCGTACATGCTCTGCATCCGATGAGTCACTTCAATTATGGGGGGAAAACAAGAGTTTCATCATCAGTCCAGAAAATAATCGATCAGGAAAGTTCGGCAATATGGGGGAGAATAAATCATTCCTTGCTGAAATGAATTCCCCAAACAACCAAGTTGATGTAAAACACACACACACACACACTCGTTCCACAGCCAAAAAAGTGTCTTATCGCTTCCTTTTTTTTTTGTTTCATTATGCAAAACGATGCCGCCTGCAGAATCTGAATGAGCGGTTCTCGTATACAGTGCAAGTACACGTGTATTTTCGACTACCTGGCGACTTGCAGATGACCAAACACTGCAGAAGGTTCTTCAAGTTCAAACACCGCCGGGACTTGGGATCCGGCTGCTCGCCAGACTCCTCAGTCTCGCCCATGGCTCCAAACAAAAGGTACAGTACTGTCCACCCTCTCTCCCCCACCCCCCGCACTTTCAAGTACTGTACTGTACTGTACTGGATATTTAGAAAAACTCAGCTCCCTATTGTATATATTTTTTTTTCTCGACACTTCGACACGCCGACGTGATTTCACGGAATGCGACGACGACGGCAGTCCTTCACTCTTCTTTTTTGTTTCGTTTTCTCCTTTCTTTGTCGAAAAATTGTCGGGGAAAATCACACGAGTGGAACTGGATCAGCACCGTCACATTCCGACACAGCGAGCGAACAAATTGCTGCTTCCTCCACTCGTGCACCTCTCGGCACTTATTCCAACGGAATCAACACACACACACACACACAAGCACAGTACACTTAAATTGCGAGTATAGTACAGTACAGTATTCAAAATACACAAGGACGGATGCTTTTCTTTTCTTTTTGTTTTAGCGCGAAAATAAAAAAAAAACCAACACACTGCTGGACAGGGAATAATCAACGCGTTTAATGTATTCAGCGACACACTTGAGCGCCGCAAATGACTGCTGCCGGAAATTCGGGCCGTTCAGAGTCATCATTTCCAGGAAGAAGAAGAACAAGGAGGAGAAAACGCATGCAGATGCGGGAAAGAAACCGAACCGTGGAAAAAAAAAGAGCACGTAAAGAACGCATTTCCATATTCGCTGCTCTCAAATTGTTCGGGACTGAGGGGAATGGGAACGAAAGCGGGTCATCTTCATGACAACAACCGGGGAGGGGGAATTTTAGACCACAGGCTTTTTTCCCGTATCCGTTTGTCATTTCCGATTCTTATTTTTTGGTCAAATGTTATACAGTAACATCTCGTAACAACAAACTTGTTATAATGAGGTTTTGAAAATTATTGACAGATTGGAAGATTTTCTTTGAATTAGACCTGCATTTATTGAACATACTGTATTCCTTTTGTGGCCTCTTTTCAAACGTTTTTCAATGGTTACAAAAATGTGATCTTCACAAAGAAAAGTAATTGTTGATAAAAAAAATAAATACTCTGAATAACAGGTAAATACTAGCACACTTTCTTGACACTCAAGTTATTTCAAAGCAATTCCTGCAAAGATTTGCGAGGGTGATTGTTCCAAAATTGCTGACAATTTTTGCATCACTAGGGGTTCTCAAGTATGCAAACCCTTTTCAACATGAGTATTGCTGGGCTCATTTTTTTTTAAATCTAACCACCCTATCTATTACTAATCTAATTTTATTAGATCTAATTTTTGAAAGGGAGGATCATCATGTGAATTTTGAAGAATTTTTCATTTCACCTGAGGTTCCAAGAACCAGTCACATTTAGAATGAGAAATGTGAGGCTGTGCCTGCCTCCATCAAGGGTTTTCCATCAAGAAACCATAAAATGTTCCTCACTGGATTGGCAAGTTTGCCAATCCAAGACTTTTATAACATGTACCCTAGGCCTATAGGATTTCTGCTGGGACTTGAAAAAAAGTTTGTTATTCTGAAAATTGTTTTGTAAGAAAACTTTAATGTAGAAGTGTTTCTTTTTCTTTTTGTTCAACCGGGTCTAAAATAATGGCTTCCTCAATTAAATCGGCAAAAACCAAACAAAACAAAAAAGCATTCGACTTTCCACACATTGAAAATACGTCTTATTTTTCGTCCCCCCGTGTTCCGGTCTCCGGAGACAGGAAAACGACCCACCTGTCGAGAATCCTCACGAAAATTAATTAATTAATTAATTAGTCAACGATGAACTCAGAGAAAAGCAAAAAGAATAAAATAAAACAACAGCCCAACGGGGAACGGCCCAATTAAGCGAAAAATTGCAACGTTTCGCGCCGGAACTCAAACTTTGGTGCACCCCACCTTTCAGTATTTTTACACCGCCCCGAAATGGACTCCCAATTTCATCATCATCGTGATCCTCTTTTTTTTTTGTCTCACAACACCCACACCCCCTCAGACTCGCCAACATTTCACACAAGCACAGTCGAGAGTATTTCATTTTTATTCTCGGCGAGGAAGAACAAGACGCAGCAAACATAAATGGCTATTTAACACACACACAACCGAATTGCTCTCAACATATTCGTCTCAGAATTGCAACAATTGCTTTGCTCACGTCAGGAGTCATCGTCAAAGTGTTCTTTCAAATCATCGCTTTTTTTTGTTCTCCGGTCAATTGTACAGCAAAATAAATCAAACAGGTCGGTTCTGCAGTCATGTCACGAGGCGTCGAGTTTAAAAGTTACTTCGTCTTTGTTCCTCGGAGCGGGAAAATCAATTTCCTCATCGTCGCAAAAAAAAGAAAAAAAAGGTCCAACGCAATATACATTCCTTCTCCCCCTCCTCCACCTCTTTTCTTCTTTTTTTTTTAAATATAAAAAAGTAAATAAGGAATAAAAATGAAAATCCCCCGACCGTTGAAACGGAACCATATTCCCGAGTCGGCCGTTCGTTCGTTCGTTCGTTCGTTCACAACGACCACGAGTTTCCTCATAATCGCTCGTCTAAAGCATTCTTGCTTTCACAACAATACAATACAGTACATAAAGTACAGTACAGTACAGTACTTGTATATTCTACAGCCACTTCCGTGAGAAGCCTTCGTCTGTCTGTCTGTCTGTCTGTCTGTCTCAAACCCCCTCCGTTTCATACACTTGGACGACCAATCCTTTTCTTCTCGATTCAAAATGCCCCACGTGAACAAGAAAAGCACAAACACGTAATAACATATTTAAAAAAAAAATGGATTAAGAGAAGAAGAAGAAAATTGCGTCAGAACCGTCACAAATTCCCATCACATCACTTCCGCACCTGCGTGAGTCCATGACTGACTGACTGATGAAGTTACTCCTGCACACACACGTGGAAAATAAATATTCATATTCTAAACGGTACATTACAAATGAATAAACGGCGAGAGAAGCGTGTCGGCTCTTTTTCCAATTGACAAGCTCATTCAATTTTCCACCCTTTCCACCCCCCTCCTCCTTCGAAAAAAAAAAGCAGAGGGCAAGGCGCAAATGGTTTTCTTAATTGACCACAAGGAGATAATGCATATTCGAGGAAGGGCATCTTTTTCGGGCACCAGGTGCACAGCACAGCACATCACATCCGGAGAAACGTGGAACAACGTCGCCCATAATTACCGTACCTTCCCACCACAATACTCACTCGCTCTTTCTCCTACAACTACTACTCCTCCTCCTTCCTTTTTCCTTCCCTGAACCGTGGGAAACAACTTCTGTTCTTCTCCCCTCCTCCCCAAAAAGAACCACGAAGGAACCAACCAAAGACTTGAGAAAAAAAAAAAAGAAAATTGACGAAAGGAAATGAAGAGAGGACAAGAGCAGCCAGCTGGGGGGGAAAAAAGAAGAAAAAAAGAGTCAAGTCTTCCGCTTCCACCTGTTTTTCGCAACCGTCAATGGACGCCAAGAAAAAACAAAAATGTACAGTACAGTACAGTACTGCATTGCAGTGTACTGAACTGTAATAAATCGGGTTGGAGAGAGCAACGCATATTCACGAGAAAGTGCTGCACATTCCGACACACGGTAGTATGACAATTTCGACCATTTAGTGGCATGACAAGTACTGTACTGTACTGTACTATTGTACGGTAAAACCGCAACTCAATCGCTATTCTCTCCTCTTTCACGTACACAGTTGTTTCGCTATGCAGTACTGCCACGTGTTTTGTTGTTTTTATATATTCCACAAACTTTTCCTTTGACGTTCAACATAACTTTTTTTGCTTGTTCTCTCTCTCATTTTCTAATTTTTTAAAATAGAAAATGTCTCCAGTCAAGAAACCGCTAATTTCCCTCGATTAAATCCAAAAAAGTGTACTCCTCAGAACAACAAAACCCAAAAAAGTACTTCACGTGGTTCAGATAAAACTATCTCGCATCCAACACCCACAGAACCACACACACACACGCACACACATTTCGATCCTTCAAAAGTTGATTTTTTTGTTGCTTCTTCTGTTTTCAATTCTCCAATCAAAATCAAAAGGGTTCCTTTCCAAAAGTGCAGTACCTTCTGGCACAGCCTCGGTGAACTTTTCTCCAATTCACGACTTTACTTTACTTTGTTTTTTTTTTCTTCTTCCTACAATGGACCAAATACATGCACAGTATACACTGCGTATAGCGGTCATTTGTTTCTACCATCGTCGGCGGCAATGCAGAAAAAGGCATCAAGAGCTGGAGTCCGTTACGGGAAAAAATTGGTCGGAAAATGGTTCAAAAAACCGCGAAGGAGCCATAAAAAAGAGAGAGAGAGAGAGAGAGAGACGCCAGAACAACGCCGCCATATTCGGGGAGGGGGGGGGGGTGGTGAGGGAAGGACAGGGACGGACCAAAGGATAAATAGAGCAACAACAAAACAGGTCTGCCGTTTCCTCATGGTTGACCGAAGCAAAACCCTGGCCTTCATCATCCATCCATCCATCCATCCGTTCCCCAGAAAAATTCACACGATTCCCCGAAGTGTCATTTGAACCAACGGGGATGACGAAAACTACATCCATTCATTCCTTCCTCAGAAGGAGTTTCTCATTCCTCAAGCAAATCTCCCAGAGAAGACCTCAGTCTGTCTGTTTCTCTCAACTGACAAAAGGCACTGCACCGCACAATTAGTATGTTATGCACAAGGAGTCAACAACCCAACTTGACTCAACACAATTCCTTCTTCTGAATACTGTACAGTAAAATCTTGTTACAACACATTTTTCAGGATAACAAACTTTTTTTCGAAGTCTTGGCAGAAATCATATAGGGTACATGTTATGAAAATCTTGTTATAACAAACTCACCAACTCCAGAATACTGTACAGTAAAATCTTGTTACAACACATTTTTCAGGATAACAAACTTTTTTTTTAAGTCTTGGCAGAAATCATATAGGGTACATGTTATGAAAATCTTGTTATAACAAACTCACCAACTCCAGCATAACAAATAACTTTTTTTGGGAACATGTGATTTCTTAATGAAAAATCCCCAATGAAGGCAGGCACAGTCTCAAATTTGCCATTCAAAATGTGACTGTGACTGGTTGTTGGGACATAATGTGGAAACAATGATAAAAATTATTCAAAATCCACCCAAAGAAATTCTCTCTCAAAAATGTTATTGGTGGAAATTGTATAACAATTCCCCAATATATATTGCGAGAATATTTGCTGTCAAGCGAATATTGATATTTGGTGTTATTCATAACACCAGGAAGAGATAATAGATGAATATTTAAAATATATTAATATTTGTCCATCCCTTCCCTGTCCTTCCCAAGTACACGTGGACTGACAGACACATCTGACAGCCACGTGCAGACCCTTGATGATGCGCGGACCCCTGACGACGCATGCATAGAAACCCCAGCGCATGGCAACCCCTTACCTTTGCAATACCTGTCGGCGCGTGGCAATCATTAAATGATACCTGCACACACGCATGACCTACTCCCCTTCTGACATGTACCCCAATCCTGCGGTATATAAACCCCTGGCAGGATTAAGACATTTAGGCATTTTAGCTCAGGAGACAGTACAGTTCAGAAGGTTCAGATCCCTGTGTCTTGTGGTCAATATTGTGAATACTGTGTTATATTGAAAAAAGACTATTTTTGTCTGGAATAGACTTTTAGTACTTAATCATTTCCCATCCTGATTAAAAGGAGACTCACGTAATTTACTATGTTTCCAGGGATAACAAAATTTTTTTTATGGCTTTGGAAAGATGCAGGGGAGTGAGGGGAGGGGGAGATGGAAAAATTAAACGCAACAAAACTCATGCTAAAAAGAGGTTCTATGCTTGAGATACGATACAGATGCTTGAAAATTGTAAGCTTTTTTTGGAACATCCACCCTCACGAATTTGTCCAGGAATTGCTCAGAAAACCTCACCCAACAAAAAGTGCTGGTGTACACCTGTTATTCAGATTAATTTCTTGTAATTGATAAATCAACATTAACATTTCTTTTTGAAAATATCAGCTTTTTAAAATGCTGAGAAATGTGTGAAAAAAACCACAAAAAGGAATAGGTAGAGAGTATGCAGGTTTAATTTTCAGAAAACATTCCAAATTTTGAAAATCTCGATATAACAATTAATCCGTTGAAACAAACTTTTTTCCGGAGTCCCCGCAAGTTTGTTGTAACAATTTGCCACGCAACGGCACTCGCATGCGCACCAACCGCAGTGCAGTATTGCAAATAGCATCTGCACTCTAGTAATTCGTCCAAAAATGTCTTTGTCTCTTTCCTCCTCCTCCTCCTCCTCATTCAACTTTGTCAACCACTGCAATACTATTGTTCCAAAACTCCTCATTTCCACTCGTTCAACAAAATGAATCATCTCGTCTCTCCTCCCCAGACGTTTGCCTTCCTTGTGCTGGACAACTCACTTTTAGCCCATTACAATTAAAATCTTCACCGGTATTTATCTTTCAAAGAGAATAATCGAGGAAATTAGTGGGTCAATGGAGATGAGAGGTATCCTGTAATTCTCCACTCACCCCCGCTAAGCCAAACTGACAAATCAATCAATATGAAATTCACAAAGAAAATATTGTAAATAATAAGGGGGGGGAGGGAAAAAAGAGAGCCTCAGATCTCGAGTTTCCTCAACGGCACATCGATAATCGACCGTATCCGAGTTTATTGGAAATATAATACGCGGAAATTTCCATCACTCTTTTCGAGAATTTCTCATCTTTTCCCTCCTTCGTATGTCGTTTGCGCGGAAACCAAAAAAAAAAAATATATACAGTATATATATATATCCTTCGGAATGGACTGGGCATTTTTGAGTTCACATAAATAGCTTTCTTTTCCCTCGACTCTTATTGCGGAAAGGAAGGAATGAAAATATGAATGAATTGAGCAACACGGCTTGCTTCCATGTCTCGTTCGATCCTGCCGTGGATCGAACCACGCAGACTACCTGAACTCTCGTATTTCCATCCGCACCACTGTAATCTCGCTCTTTTTCGACACTTGTTGCCACCAAGCACGAGAGATTGCCTCAATTTCAGCACCCCCACGCTTTTTTTTCACGCCAACACGAGGGAATTATACTGGGTAATCTCAGCGAAACAAAAGGTGTACGCAAGCATTCCCCGCCACAAGGATGAGATCAAGTTCCCAACATTTTTCAAAAAAATTATTCCCTCAAATTGGCACAAAATCCTCCCGACTAATTTCTCTCAAATACTCGCGCCATTCCACGAGTCCGGAATGTCCACTCGTCTTGTCCCCCACCAAATAAAGGAGAAGAACAACAAAAAAAACACACCAACGCATGAAGACAAGAGAAAGAAAAGAAAAAAACAAAAACATTCGCACAACTTTCACTGGCCACCGACGGAAGGAACAAAAATAACTGTGACAAAAAAAACAAGAAAATACGCAGGAGAACACAGCACTCAGCATACGAGTGCAACAGTCAATGGGGAACGCGAGGGACGCCTCAAACACCGCCGCCGCCGGGCAACTACTGCCAGCCGCGCCGCCGCCGCCACCGCGCTTCCCTGGGAAAACACAGGCGCCGAAATTCCGACTCGGACACCAAGCGCGCGGGCCGCAAAGCAAGCAAGCAAGCAAGCAAGAAGAACAGCAAAATTGCACACGGGAGAGACAGAAAAAAGGGGAAAAGATATTTTTCATTAAAAAATAAATAAAATAAAAATAAAAGGGATGATGGAAATGCCGATTCGCTCGCTGGCCGCCACCGTCACGCTCGACACGGCACAAAGCAGCGAACCTCGACGACACCAGCGTCGATTCGGCGACCATCACCGCCATTAATCTTCCGGACGAGACACGGGCAACGGTATAATATGTATATATATATATCCTACTGTACAGTACAGTACAGTACGGTACGGTACATCACTCCCTTCCTTCTCGTCTTCCACGCGCAACAACAATCATTCTCCCATGTGTCCGAAACCCAGCAGCCGTGTGACAAACACTGGCCAAGCCCCAACAACCAACCACACTTACAAGTCGGCTTTCTTTTTACTTTTCTTCGTTTTTCCTCATCGCACTTGGGTTGGTTCATAACTTTTCACACTTTTTTTCTACGATGATTCCAATTTTTAATTTTCTTTCAACTCAAATCATGCGACAACACGCTACAGCTGTTCAACACACTCTCGGCCAATTCCAATGCATTTTCTTTTCATGCGATAAATCAAAAAATTTTTTTCAATTCCGAAAAGCGAGTACTGTTGAGTTGATTAAGCTGTTTTTCAAAGGCGGAAATGAAAACGTCAAATCTCAACCGTCTTCATCTCGGAAGCAGCCAAAAAGTCACAGGGTGTCTAATCAGCGAACAGGACTCGATTTTTTGCACAGTTTCGGATTTATCGTATGAAAAGTAAAAAGCGTGGAAAAATTTTTTTTTTCGTTGGAGCCATTTAAAAAAAAAAAAAAGTCTCAAAACGTATGCTGAGCCAACAACCCACGTATTTCTGTCGCCCCCGTCTTCCGGAATTCGCCATCGAGAGGAATCCAGCCGAGACGCAAATAATTTCCCCTTTATACCTCTAATAAAAATATTTTTTTTTTTTTAATTCATCTTTCTGCGCAAGCAACCCCTAGAGAATTTTGCGGAAAACCCTTCAATAGGTTACGAGTTCCATCGTGAGAAATAAAAAATAACACAATGAGCCTGATAAGGCAAGTGGGACGGAAAAGAAGAAGAAGAAGAAAACCTTCACCCCAACTCCCATTTTACTACTCCATTAAGCACCATTTAATCTCTTCCCCCCCCCCTAAATCTCTATCTTCTCCTATCATCGTCTTTATCCTCTAAATCGGTTTTTTCTTCCTTTTGTTTGTTTGTCTCTTTCCCCCCTCTTCGTTTAATCACAATAAATTATTCAGTAAATAATATATAACGAGGGAGACAGACAGACAGACAGACACAGAGATAGATACAAATATATAAATAAATATCGTCCTCTTCGTGATTTTGACCAATCAATCAATCAATCAATCAATCAATACAAAAACAAACACATACAAGACACATTTACATGCCAAGTGTGTTTGTCGGGTCTTCTCGACACGGTCCAGCATGTAAACTGAGCGAACAGAGACAGCATGTGGTCTCACATCCTGCGCATCGTCGCTCTGCTGTACATCCTCTACAACAAGCCGGAACAATGTCCCCTGCTCGAGCCGGACAAATGGTGCGAGTGCCTGGTGGCCTGCGTGGCCATGCTCTACTTCATCATCAACCTGCTCGACGCCGTCGTGCAGCTCCTGCACGAGAACTTCTTCCCGTGCAGCTGCCTCTTTGCCACGCTGTCGGGCATCTTCAACTGGCTGGCTGAAACGGCAGCCTACATTGCCCTGGCCATCTTCTTTTCCAACATGTACGAGGAGGCGAATGCGGAGATGTTTTTCGAGTCTGTACAACATTCTTTAAATCATTTCTTTCTTTTTTATTGTCAATTCATCATAAAATCTTTCTTTCTTTCTTTCTTTCTTTTTGAAATATATCAACAGGGCCCTGATGCTCATCAACCCCGTCTTGTTTGTCGTGTCCAACTTCTTGTTGCCCTGCGAAGACGTCGAGGACACGCTGCAAAAGCTCAGCTGCTTCTTCTCGGTCGTGCCCATTCTCTGGATCCTCTACTTGGGCGTCATGAACTGCAACGCCTACATCATTGCCGCCGTGCTCGTGCCGCTCATTGTGGACGCCATCTGCGCCTTCTTCCCCAAGGTGCCGTTCAAGGGCCACTGGTTCCTCCTCGCCGTCACCGAGGCCCACTTGTTCTTCTTTTGCGCCGTCTGCATGCTGCTCGGCGGCGGCGGCGGCGACTCGTCCTTTGACGACATGGGCCAAGTTGACGCTTGAGCAAGAAACAATGTCTGCTCTCTCCTTCTCTCTCTCTCTCTCTTTTGACCCCGACCACCACCACCACAATTTTATACTTCTTCCTCATCTTCTTGTAGTCGTCGTCGTTGAGGAACGCCCCGAAAAAAATTATTAATCTCGCAGTGTTTCCTTCTTCCTTCTTTAAACGTTGTACTCAAAACATACTTGCGCTTTTGCATCTTACGCCGCGTTTAAAGGCTCTCTTAATCCACAAATAGCACCTCCGCGTTTGTCAATAAAACAACAAAACGAAATCCACGGAAACGGGCAAAAAAAAAAACTTACTTCCCGGGAGCAATTATAAACAAAAAAATAAACGGGGGATAATTATTCCCTCCTTCTTACTGGCACATGTTCAACGGGAACAATTAAGAGAGAAGGAGGCGACGGCCAAGTTCAGCGTGGCGTGAAAATGTCCCGTTTCCGGCCATGTTAAACCGTGCGAAACAATGTTTGTAATCAACTGTATTATTGGCATTCTCTGCAGATTTAAAATCCCCCTTTTTTTTCCGACCGAGGGAAATGACTGTTGAAAATACTTGTCTCGGTTTCAGACAGGCAATAGTTTTGATGACACGCGATACGATCTTGACATTCCACAGGTTTTACTTTTGGCCCAAAACCCCCGGAGCAAATAAACTGCAGAGAGAGAGAGAGAGAACACATACAGTACAGAACTGTATTTGCTCTTCTCACGCATCCAATAAAGATTTTTTTTCCCGAGATACACGCCCATCACACACACACAGTTTGAGTAACGAGCCTTTCCAGATAAGATCTCGTATCAGTTCATTCCTATAGTCATGCTCGGTGTCGTCGAGTAAGTCACACAGTTGCAGGTGCATGACGGCGTGAACATTTGAAGGCTACGACGCGACTCAAAAACAAACACGTGATATTCCATTGCTCTTTGCAAAGAGACAGGACAAAGAAGAAGAAGAAGAAGGACCAACAACACGATGCCCTCACCTGCTCTCGGATCCCGAATCTTCTCCTGCTTCGTGCCCGGCAGTCGGACGCACCGCGAAGGCTCCACTTCCAGCAGGAAGAACAAGTCTGCCAGGAAGGCCAACACGTTCTGCCTCAGCGAGCTGCAAAACAAGAGAGAAAAACCAAGATGAATTAACGGAACGACGCAGGAACAACAACAACGACTACTTCAGTACAGTCGAACCCCGTTAAGACGCCCAGTCCCAACGGTAATCTTCATTTTTCACAAACTTTGAACAATATATAAACCTAATTTTAAAATTTGAATAAATTGATGCAGTTAAATAAATTTTCTGAAGGAGTATAATGCATAAATCACAGCAATAATCTTCAGAAAATCACTCGAGTTTCTCGAAAACTTGTATTTCTATACGTACTTTTGAAGGAAAATCAAGTATTTTTGATCAAATGATTTAAAATGAAATATTCGATAAACCGCCAGAATTGCTCTGGACAAATGGTGGCGTCTTATCGGGGTTTGACTGTATATGGCGTGAATGTATGGTCTCTCCCGAGCAGCAATAGCCCCCACACAAGATGGTAAAAAATTAAAGAGTACTGTATCGTACTACAGTATATTATTCTCGCGCATGAACTCCAAATCCCCTCGCGCCTTTTCAGCCAGAAACTTACAGCAATACTCGTATCGCCCCGAATCAAGTGTCGGCAAAAAACCATGAATCATCGAGAGAAATGAACGAAATACTTGAATAAAATAAAAAACAGTAACTATGCACGCAACTGGCGGAAACCAAAAAGGCCGGCTTCTCAAGTACAGTACTTTCAAAATACAGTACACTTGTACTCGTTCCGGCGATTTCCCAAAAACGCACACACAGTACAGTATTGAGAAATGCGGGGGAGTGATACAAAAATGGGTGGAGGAAGAAAAACAATGCGAAAATAAATCTGTATATAGACAAGCGATCGAAAAATCGTTTCGAAAACGCGTGCGGGTTAATACTTTACGCGTAATGCCCCCCACGTCCCACACAGCTCCGTCCAGTATCATGCAGCACAATATTCAGCACACGAAGCCTCCACCTACATAATGACAACCACTGTACTCGGTAAAACAGTTCTACACAAGTACCTTAATTACTCGAGTATCACGCACGCCTTTTCTCAGGAAAATCACAGCAAAAAAATGGGGTCCGCGTGGGATGAGGGAATGCATTTTTTTTTTATATGCTTGGATCAATGATCCATAAATGATCTTTTCTTGAAATTTTTCAAACGAAAAAAAAGCAAGGATCTATGAAATCATTCTGCGGTGTCACAAGTTAGCTGGATAAAAAAGAAATCCTTCCTTTGTCTCCAATCGCAATGCACTACTTCATGATCTTCATACGTTTCTTCTTTGGAAAGTATTATTTGGCAAATACATTTTGATTCATAGTCAACAGAATCTGAGGTGCGGGTCTGACATAGGAAAAGGGTTTTGAGCACATTTCGGACCAAAAAATCGTAGTGCGAGCCTTACTCAAAGGCGTGTGGTACTGTACTCAAGTAAATACCCTAACTTCAGTACAGTATAGTACCACCCACATTTATTCAAGTACCACGCACCCCGCGCACAAGGGTTTTTCAGTTGGAAATTTTGCTAAAATCGTATCCCCAAGTAAGATGCGCTCCCCAACTTCCAGTGACTCTAAAACCACAAAATTTCGAAAATGAAAACAAAACATTTGTCTTTAGACATGAATTGAACATAAATCTGATCAATTTTCAACTTTTTCAGTAAAACAAAAGTTTTCTTGTAACATCTGTTCCAAATTTCTCCATCATAATAAAGTATAATACACACATAGCTTCCTAAAAATTCTGGAAAAATGTGTACCGTATATGCTCCAATAAACGCCCCGGCGTTTATTTGCAATTTGAAATTTTTTCCCCAGGCCTTCTTCTGCATACTGTACAGTAAAATCTTGTTACAACACATTTTTCAGGATAACAAACTTTTTTTCGAAGTCTTGGCAGAAATCATATAGGGTACATGTTATGAAAATCTTGTTATAACAAACTCACCAACTCCAGAATTTGTAAACAAATAAGTTACACCAAGGTTACAGTCGGTGCATTTGTGTGATATTCCTGTTATGTCACATTTGTGCACCAAATGTAGCCCATCAAAATTTTGTCTACAGAGGTGCATGCATGTAACCCCAGAATAGCCCATGTACACCAATTGTGACCCCAGTGTGCACCATTTGTGGGGTCACACAAAGAATAGCTCCCCATTTGGGTACACACATACACGCAGCATGACCAGCAAAAAAAAAAGAAATACAGAGAATTTAACCTTAAAATAACGAAAAATGGAAGAGAAAACAAACAAAAAAACACCTCGAAGAAGGGATGAGAGAGGAAAAAGTCTTTCAGTCATCGAAAGACCAACTTCCACAGAATGAACAAGACGAGAAATGTCGCAAAGAGGGCCCAGGCCACGACGACGGACCCGTCGCCACACGACGCCTCCTTCACGTCGACAACCAGAATGCCGTCGGCAGAGTAGAACGGCTGTCGACTCAACTCGTAGTCGCAAGCCATCATCATCATTCTCCCACACTTCCTTTCTTTCATCAACTGTCCTTTCACACACACACAAAAAACAAACGAAAACGAACGGACGTCAAGGATGTAATAATTTTTTAGAATACAGTGAGACCTCCAAATGAGGACACCTCGACCTGCGGGCAATTCAACATAGGGACACGTGTTTTCCCATAAAAAAAATTATTAAAAGGGGCCCGATACAAGGAAACTGACTTTACCTAGGGACATTTTGTGATAAAGTTGCAAATACATTTCAGGCCAAATTACAAGCAACTGATACTTCCAACCCTAAAATTGATGTAAGAAAAGTTCTTGGGCATTTCTCTCACCAATTTACCATCCATTCAGCTAATTTTAAAAAATTACCTCCAGCAAAGAGGGACTTCCTTCTCTCTTTTTCACTTGAATGTTATTTTCACAGAGAATGTCAACATTTCTATGTACTGTACAGATGTATCAGTATTCAATTCCCCGAATGTTCATATATTGTGTTGAAATAAATTGATTCAATCAGTTTAAAATGGGAGACAATCTCCATTTTCATGGAATTACGGTGAGTATTTTGTACATAGAACACACCAATTAAAAATTATATAATGCAAGTCTAATGGAAAATGAGACTCAACTTAGGGACACACTTGATGCACCAATTACGTCCGCATGTCGGGGTCTCACAATATTCGTCTTCTCTTTTTTCTTTTGTCTCCACGCCTCACTCACTCACTCACTCTCTCTCTCTCTCTTTCAAGCTACACGCAGAACAGTTCCATTCCACAACCAACTACTCCACATTCACCAAGCATTCAATCATGAGAAGCGAAAAGAAGACAAGTAAGTGACAGGCATTTTAAAATCGGCCTCTGGTTGAGAATTTCCCGAACAAAATAAAGCAAAAAAAACCCCTCCACTAAAGAAAAAATAAAAATTATTTCAATACTTTTCATTCCAGAACCCCCCGTCCATTTTCACGGTTCGACTGGCAGCAGGGTAAAAGTATAGTACAGTACAGCAGCAGGCACATTCCACGCGCCACAGAGATTCCCTGCAGAGATTCCAGCGCGATGGAAATCTCGAAAGGCATTCCTGGAAACGAAGCCAGAATATTCGTTTCAGAGCCTCAATGGAAGAACTAGAAACAACAGCAGCAAAAAAAAAAAAAAAAGTATTGTTATCACGAGGAAGTGCTTCGAAAAGTCTCAGGTCATGACCCTTTTTCTCTGTTTCGTAGAAATTTTCATCAGCCCAAAAACTCTCTTCCTCAACGTATATCTGATTGAAAAACGCAAATACTCCCACACATCCACCAAAAGGAAAAGCATCCAAACAACTTCAGTTTCTGCACTGCACAATAAAAAAGAAAAGGGTATATATAATCGGTGGACAGGAAGTAAAAGTAACGTGAATATGGTTTTTGTTTTTTGTTTTTTACTGCTCAGCACTCTGCAGGAAATCCTGCAAAGCGTGACTCAGGAAAGACCTTGAGGCAAGCATCAAAGAGAAAAAAAAACAAGCTCAGCTCTCCTCCACCCAGTTTCGAAATTTCGAGCAATCAAGAAAAAGAAAAACAGGACGAGTCAGTCTCACACGGGTCGAGGCACAGCAGACTACTTTTGCAAGTAAAACACGACAACATCAGATTTAAAAAAAAAAAACGAAACAATAATGACGGTAATACGGAAATGAAATACTTGAAAGGAAAATACCCCCTTTTCCCATATTCACTCTGTAACGCCACCCATAATGAAATCTATCCACCCCCCCCCCCCCTAAAGTCGAAATTCAAATGAAAAGCAATGATGGTTCTCTATAGCGTCTTCGAGGAAAAGCTTTGTCAACTCGAGAGAACCTAATGACCAAACCACACACACACACACACACACACACACACGACCATCACATCAACTACTGACGAAGGAAATTGAGCCTGACTTTTCATCGCGATCCTCAAAAAATCCTCGCGCATCCCGACGATGAAACACGATGATGGCAAGAGAAGAAAAAAAAAAAAAAAAAAACAGTACAGTATATGATGCCTCTTGCAGCGCGTGTCGGACACCGCCTGAACCTGTGCCAAGACAAAACTGCCACTGGTGCTGCTGCTGCTGCTCAAAACTCGACCCGTCGACACCGACGACGTCTCGTCATCGCCGGAAAAAAAATTACATAAACGGGGGCTCAACCAAAAGGTTGCCCACAACTGCCACTTCAAGTACTGTACAGTATTGTATCATGCATGCATTTTCAGAAGACAAGCGTGGGTACAAGTGGGCCAGCAGTCATTTACTATGTTGTACAGTATCAATGACATCAAGTCAAACTTCAATACAGTAAAATCTCATTACAACAAACTTGTGGGGACTTGAGAAAAAGTTTATTGTAATGAATAATTTATTATAATGAGACTTCGAAAATACTGTAATTGACTGATTGGAAGATTTTCTTCAAATTAGACCTACATATATTCAACGTCTTCCTTTTGTGGCCTTTTCAGATGTTTTTCAACGGTTACAAACCTGTAATCTTCAAAAAGAAATGTAATCGTTTATTTTAAAAAAACAGATACTCTAAATAACAAATAAATACTAGCACACTTTCTTGACTCCAAGTTTTGAAAAGCAATTCCTGCAAAGATTTGTAAGGGTGAATGTTCCAAAATTTCAAACAATTTTTACATCACTAGCATTTCTCAAGCATACAAACCCATTTTAACATGATTATTGCTGGGCTCATTTTTTCCATCAAATCGCCCTTCCCCCCTCCCACCATCATTCCTATCATAAGAATAATTTTTGAAAGAGAGGATTTTCAGGTGAACTTAAAAGAATTTTTGAGCTTGATTCCTCATCCTTATGTTCCAAGAACCAGTTACCAGTCACATTTAGATTGCAAAATGTGAGACTGTGCCTGTCTTCATTACAGATTGTTAATCAAGAAATCAAAGAATGTTCCTCAAAGAGGTTTGTTATACTGGAATTGGCAGTTTGTTGTAATGAGATTTATTTAACATGTACCATATAGGATTTTTGCCCGGACTTGAAAAAAGTTTGTTTACAGAATAATTTGTTGTAACGGTATTTGTTGTAACAAGATTAGAAAACGGAAACAGGCATTTTTTATTGGTGGAAAGAGACAAGAATTTTGGGGAAATGTAATTTGTGTTTCTATACTCATAGACCTTTGATTGCTTCATGAATGAGTTGACAGGATGCTTAAGGCTTGTGAGCAAAGAATTTCTCCATCCCAACAAGTCTTTCACTTCCTTTAAAAATCCTTTTTCCCTGCGTCGATCAAATAAAGGCCTCCAGAAATGTCAAGGTTTTGAAGAAGGAAAGCCTTTAAATTAGGGATCATTTGGAATGCATTGTTTCTAAGGAAATTCCGACGGAGACTTGGAAATAATTCGACTCAGGGAGGTTCAACTGTACAGTACTGTAAAAATTAGCAACACCGGGCCATCTACCTAATCGCCTGTCTCCCTGAGATTTTTTTCTTTCCTTCATTTGTTTAATTATTTCCTTTTGCTCACCACCCAGCACGCAAACGAAACCAAGAGAAGACAGCTGCAGGCAAGCAGCAATGCTGAGCAACCCAGCCAGCCAGCCAGCTGTTTCATGTTCGACCAGCTCGCTCACAAGTTGCAAAAGCTCACGATGCAAAACCGCAAAGCAAGGACGAATCAACAGTAGTACACTGAAACTCGAGTGAAGTGCTGCACATTTAAGTCAAGAATTTAGTCTCGATAAACGCGGGTAAATTCCTCCCACGACGCACGCGACTCTTCTTTTCTTCTTTCGCCCGTTTCCAATAATCGAAAAGAACACACACACACACACACAGACACACTTGGAACTTTCGGAAAGCACGCACACGGGGTTTAGAGATGCGCGTGTGTGTGTGTGTGAATGCAGAATATGCGCGCTGAGACGACAGGCCCCCGTGCAGAACGCCCGCCGCGCTAATCGCCACGCATGTTTCGCTAATCTCTCGCGTCTCTTCGCCTCCACGCACCATCTCCTCTTCCTGTCGAGACTCCACAATTACGACGATGACAGACAGACAGACAAAGAGTGCGTGTCCCTCGCACATGTACTGCAACATCAGTTAAAATACTCTATACTGTACTGTACTGTTGTGTACTCACCAGTTCATGTTGACCAGGTCCTCGACGCGGAAGCACAGCGGGTTGTGGGTGAGACTCTCGTTGCAGACGTGGGCCAGGATCCGGAGGTTCTTGAGCGACTCGGTCTGGCTGAGGGACGACGCCGGGGTCGGGCACCGCACCTCCGACCAGTCCGCGTCGTCGGGGCAGTACAGCCCAATCACGCCGCCCAGGGCAGACCCGTCCCGCAAGTCGTCCACCTCGCAGGCCACGGGGAACTCGGGCACCTTCTGCATCATTCAAACACGCACACAAACACATTATTCTACTTGATTGTACAGACAGAATATGAGACATTACGACGAGAGACTCGGGGAGAGATACGGGATACAAAAACAAAAACATTTCTTTTTAAATAGCATGTCAATGAGAGTTGGACACGATCAAAACCTCTCCCTCTCTCTCTCTTCTTGTATGGATATTCATTCAGCAGCACACGTCAAACAAATAACAACTTATACAAAGTTCGTATATATATATATATATATATTGTATTTACTTGAGTACCATGCACCCTCAAGTAAGGTGCACACAGGGGTTTTTCAGTTGTAAATTTGGCTAAAATCTTATCCCCAAGTGAGACGCGCACCCCAATTTTTAGTGAATCTAAAACCACAAAATTTCGAAAATAAAAACAAAAAAATTTAATTTAGACATGAATTGAACAAAAATCTGATCAATTTTCAACTTTTTCAGTACAAAAAGTGTTCTTGTTACATTTTTTTCCAAATTTCTCCATTATAATCAAATATAGTGCACACATAACTTCCTAAAACTTCTTGAAAAATGTGTACATGCTTATGAAGCACACCCCTTTTTCTCTTCTGAAATTTGAGAAAAAAGGTGCGCATGGAACTTGAGTAAATACGGTATATATACAGTCAAATCCCACTAAGACACCCCCCAATAAAGCACCATCCTTGGCAAGTGCCAACATTTTGAATGAAACAAATCTCTTCATAACACAATGCCATAGAAAACCTCAATAAGACATCATCCACCAGCATTAGTGATGAAACAAAAGTGCTGTTTTGTATTAGTTTTGTCTTTGTTACAATGCCAACATTGGGATACAATTCTATTTTCTGTCCAGGATCTTGTATTGGTAAGAAGAAAACAAAATGGCAATCTTAATTTTTCAAAAACTTTGAATAATATACTGTATAGACCTAATTTTAAAATTTGAATAAACTGATGCAGAAAAATTAATTTTCTGAAGGAGTATAATGCATAAATCACAGCAATACTCTGGAAAATTACTAAAGTTTCTGGAAAACTTGTATTTCTATTAATTTTGAAGGAAAATCAAGTATTTTTGATCAAATGATTTAAAATGGAATATTTGATAAACCGCCAACCCCTTTAAAACGCCAGCATTGCTATGGACAAAGGGTGGCGTCTTATTCGGGTTTGACTGTACCGTATATGACAATGCAGAAAGAAAAAATTTTGGCTGCGGGCATTGTTGTTGCCATGCATACTAAGATGTACTCTACTGTACAACTTTCCATGAACAAAGAGAAACAGTACAGTACCACCTTACAGTGGTACCCCTACAGAGACTGCTGCATCTACAGTACATTTTGTCTCGTCATTGGTCACTCGCAGCACTTCACTCCTTCCAGATTTTCCGTTTTCTCCTCTGGATTCTTCTTTTACTATTTTTTTTTTAATTCGAATTAAATTTTAGGAGACAATACTGCATTTGTTGAGAAACTGTTTTTAAATTCCATGTTTCCGCGGGAACAAATACGAAAAAATCGACCGTCTTTCATATTCCCACACACGTTTTACGCAGATTTTCTCGAATAAATTCAGGTCATTGCAAGCTTGCTTTTTCAATCCATTCAACGTAAAAACTGACACTTGATCCGGTTAATTATTTCCTCAATTCACTTGCATTGCTTTTACCATTGCAAGTGGGATAACATTTGTTCTTCCGGTGAAGTTCACAGAACACATCTTGAATATAAAGATAAATAACTCGTTTGAATTAATCAACAGAGAGGGTCTTTAAATCGACGAAACTGTGACACGAAAATCGAAAAACTCATCAAACACCTTTGACTCACCATGTATACAAAGTCAACTAAATGAACAAATGTATCAAAACCCAATAGCTCATCAGGCTAAAATCTATGAAACATACAGAACATGCACGGTATCTAGGTAATCTAGGGAATACACAGTATGAATGAGGGCTCCGTCAACGTTACTCGAGAACCAGCCGTCTTCAATTAGTGCTGCAACTGCAAGCGAATCACTCGGTTCCTTTCAATAATAGACAAAAAATTATCTCCCCACAACTGGTTGTCCATGCAATTTTAAAAAAGAGTCAGTCAAAGATCACAATCACTTGTGGAGTATCAAAACAACAACAAAAATGCATACGGAAACAGGCTCATACAAATGATGCTGGAAGAAGCCCAGATCTTGCGGTCAAATTCAACTCCCAAAATGGGAATCGCTTCTTCGAGGGATACAAAATGTAACCACAAGAAAATATTAAATACAAGATCATCAACACGCGTTAACTGCAAGTTTTAAAATTAAACATCTACAATTGCACGAACAAACAATCCAACTCAGAATAAGCAGCCTTCCCGCGAGATAGTGAGCAGTACAGAATTGAACCGTCAACAAACGCACCCCATTCTCGAACAGAGTAAAGCCAGCAACACTATAGGATTTTCAACAAAGAAACCGACACTTCTGGGCAAGTAGAAATCGGTGATACGTCGCCAATCAAAAAAGGGGCAGGAACAAAAAAGTAAATACTGTATTGTAAATTGCGACTTGAAAAATGAACCAGGGGTGAGCTAGTAATAAGAAAACAAACAAAATAAACAACATAACAAAAGAAAAAAAAAACGCATCATCAACGTCAAGACAGACAGACAGACCCAAGAGATGCATCGTAAAATACCTCGCCATGGAGACTCGTGAACCTGGCGATTTTCATCGCCTCCTGCTCCTCGAACTGCTCGTGTTCCGCAGCATGAACAACAACAACAACAACGACAACAATAGGACCATCATGACAAACACGAATAACGATTTATTAATTTTTTTTTTGATTAAGGGCGGGTCGTGGCGACCATACATGTATGTGCAAGCGACAAAATGATTCTCTCAAAACTGACCACTACATATTACAGTATTTCTTCCTTCGATTCAATTTCCTACTATACTGTACTTCGTATCGTTAGACTGACAGAGTAGCGGAAAACAGGGGGGAGATGGAAGAGATAGCACAGTACAGTACAGTATTGTACAGTACAACGATTCGACAATTTAAATTTGCAGAAACAAACACACATACACAAACAAATGAATGAATGAATTAATTAATTAATTAATTACGACGTGAAAATATACTGACGATCGAGTCATAGTCCCCCGCGTGGTCCCGATCGTCCCTCGTGAGCCGGGCCTCGATCTCGGCGGCCAGCTTGGCGCACGACGCGTTCACCCACGTGAGCAGGGCCTCCTCGGCACTCGGGCGCTTCTCCGACGACGACGGCTCCGACTCGGCGTGCACTCTCCGCACGGCCGTCATCACCCGTCCGCCGGCCGTCAGCTCCTTGACAAACAGCGACATCAACGCCTCAATCATGGCCATGTGTGCACTCTGCGGGACAATATTGGATATCATCAGCAATGGTTCAAACCATTCCCCGAAAAGTAAAAAAGAAAAATACCCACCATCTTGATGGGCGTCGTCTGAATGAGCACCGTCTCCGTCAGGGCCACATCCCCGGGCTCGCCCACGTAGACGCCCTTCCGGTTCAGGGCCTGGATGACACCCCAGTGGTTGAGTTGGGTGAAGCTCGGCGACGAGTAGATGTTGGCCAGAGTCATGCAGTAGTAGGTGGCATTCGCCAAGTCTCGCACCACTTGCGGCTTTAGCCATTCTTGGTCCTGAGAGCGGGTGGAGAGAGAGAGAGAGAGAAACAAGATGTGATGATGAATGAATGATGCAAAAGGTTACGTTAGCGACATCTACTCGCGCTGCAACAACACGCGCCCTTCCTTCAGTTTCTCCGCCTGCCGCACGGGTGACACCCACACACGGAATTTTCTTTCAGTATTACGTGACGGAATTGCAAGATGCTTCAAGTTCGAATTGAATCACGTCCATGCATTGTGTTTGCAATTCAGTGGACACAAATCTTATCAATTACCATTTCATCGAGAGCTACTGTGCTCGTATCGAAAATTCGTGTAAAACTCATAGTATAAAAAATAACAGCCCAGAACAGTATTGGAAAATATGCAAACCTTATTTAACAAGAATGAATACTGTATTTTCAACCCATTCGCAAGAATTCGAGGAAGGCACGCGCTCCAATTATTATTCCAATGGATCTCCTTCACCTTCGTAACATGTTCTTTTTTTCTTCCTCTCTCTCTCTTTCTTTCTTTCTTTCCTTCTTTGAACTCGCCAGACAAGATTTACTCCAGCTGAGGGGTCATTATCCCGCCGCCGCGAATAATCGGCGGCACATGATGCGGTCAATCACTGCATGGTACAAGTGCCCGGGCCTCGGGGTATGTGAGTGAGCGAGGGAGATCAACAGAAATCGGCACCCTCGGGGTCACTCTCTCGAGTCGAAAGGGCATTACAGCACAGTTTTACTGTACAGTACATTACATTACAGTACATTCGAAACAGGTGCACACCCCCTGCAGTTTCATTCAACTTTCCTTTCCAGTCTAAGGGTCCTCTTCCAAGTGCTGTGTTATTTTTTATTTCCTTTCACACACCACAGTATAAAACTCGAAACTCCGTACATTCCAGTCAGACACCTCAACATCAATCAACCAACCAGTACAGTACCCCAATTTCAGGATCGTGCAGTACGGTAGAATCTCTTGACAAACTAGCGTTTGGGGCCTTATTGAAAAAGCTTCGTTATCAACAAAATATGAAATTTTTAAAAAGCATTAATTCGTCATGAGGCAATTGGTAGTACAGTAATGAGATTCTTCCGCATTTTGACTGGTGCAGAAAGTAATGCCCAGTTGAGATTGAAAACCCAGCTACACTCATTTATTCACACACAAAAAAAACAACTTTCGACAGGAAGTGCTCAAATGTCTGACTGATTGCCATTTCTTGGATTTCAGGAGGGGGGGGGGGGGGGGGGGAAGGCCTGTGGGTCAGAGGAAGCGTTTTGAATGAGGGGGATGAATCGGAAATTCTCTGGCCTCAAATTTAATTATCGTACTTTCGTAAACTACATCCGCCCGCCAACTCAATTACATCCGCTTCTCTGCAACCAGGGCACAGCATTTTCCACGATTTGAAAGCGTAAATGCTTTACACTACAAGGAAAACCAAAGATTTGTAAATACATGTACCATTTTTTTTTTTTTTTGCTTTTCCTGTCTTTGTGGTTCGACAGACCCTTTGAACTCATACTTTTGGCAGAGCCCACTTCAGTTCAGTCGACACATGGAAGAGGCACCCAACTGGACAATTTTTAGATGATCCTGAACGCACAAATACCGTACAACACAGTGAGACCCCACATGCGGACACATCAACCTGTAGACAATTCAACATAGGGACACTTATTTACCCATAAAAAAAAAAATCAATGAAAAAGGTCCGGCAAGAGGACACTGACTTGGAATAGGGACATTTTGTGATAAAATTGTAAATACATTTCAGGCCAAATTACAAGAAACAGATACAGTTGATCCTCTGTAAGTCAAATTTCTAGGGACCAGGAAAAAAATGTTGGCTTTGGGAGGTTTTGATTTTTGCAGATTTTGAATCAAGGAAAAAATAATTCTTGCTTTGAGTATTAGTAAAAAGGATTGCAGGAAATTGTAAATGAGGAGATTCTGGGCCTAAACTTGCCTCTTGATGAGTTTATACTGTACTGAACTTGGAGGCAGGGGTTCATTTGCTATATTTGTCTTTCAATTCATTTCAAGATGCATGAAATTATTTGTTTCAATCATTTGACTTCCATATTTCACAGAAATAATAACCATAAGAAAATTTGACTTAAGAGGTTTTAGAGAAAAAGAATTCGAGTCAGGTAGGTTTTTACTGTATTGATTTTAAAGGAATTTGGACAGGGACTTGAAAAAAATTTGACTCAGGGAGGAATTCGACCAATGGAGGTTTGACTTATCAAGGTTCACCAGTATTTCCACCCCTAAAATTGATTTAAGACAAGTTCTTGGGCATTTCTCCCACCATTTTACCATCCATTTAGCTGATTTAAAAAGAATTACCTCCAGCATAGAGGGACTTTTCTCCTCTCTTTTTTTTTCACTTGAATGCTACTTTTACAGAGAATGCCAACATTTCTACGTACTGTACAGTGGTATCAGTATTCCATTCCCCAAATAAATGACCACATTGCGTTGAAACATATTGACTGAATCAGTTTAAATTGTGAGACATGTTTTTCTTTTCATGGAATTATGGTGAGTATTTTGTCCGTAAAATACCAATTAAAAAGGGGTGAAATTTAAGTCTAAAGGGAAAATGAGACTCGACTTCAGGACACTCTTGATGCACCAATTACGTCCTAATCTCGGGGTCTCGCTGTATTTGCAGTTGAATCCCTTCCCGTAACTCTTGTACTGCACAGTACTTCTGTACTGCCCAACGTGCTGTATTCCTCTCGACGCAGTTCTTCTCCTTCTCGATCACGGTACCCATATCTCGGAAACTGATTAATTTCAAAATTTACGTGCTGAATCTCGTCCGGTGACGCTTTCAACGAGGGAATGGGAAGCAAGAAAGAGTACACCAATAACTCATACAATTAAAATTAAGGTGTGCTTCTTGATTCGGGTAAGCTTTTCTTTTCTTTTTTCGCCAATCGGAACAAAAAGACGGACAAATATTGCACAGTCAAGCCCCGTCGGAAAAAAAAAAATCTGGCTGGACCCGAAACCTTCAAGAAGCAGAATTCAGAGTTTTTCTTGTTGGGATCAATAGATGGAACACATCTTTTAAAATCCAATAAATTTCGATGGAATCCAATTCATCATCTGAACAAGAGGAATCCGTCACTGCAATACAGTACTCTCTGGAAATTTCTAGAAAGCATATATTTCTGCTACATGTTTTTCAAGTAAAATCGAAACTGCAATTTCAAGAACGAAGTCTCGGATAATAATAACCCACCGGCCTGTTTGAACCAGCCGAAAAGCTTATCAGACAAAATCATGGCGTCTCACCGAGGTTTAACTGCACAGTACAGTCAGTACATATATATACGTACTGTACCACCACCACCACCACCACCACTCGATTGGCGCGGAGGGAGGAAAAAAAGGGGGGGGAGTTGTAAAAAGCAACAGCAGTTTTCACTCGTAAAATCCGACTTGCAATCCACAAAAACTTTCCTCTCCCTCAAATTCCGTGAGGGAAATAAAATCCTGCTACTTCCTTCACTTCCGCCATTCGGAGAATTTGCACTTTTCGCTCGAGAACCGACTACTGTATCGTACTGCACTGTACGCTGTCTTTAACCACTCCACACTCGAACCCCAATTTATCATACCCAGGTCTAATATAAACAGCAGCAATTGAGCACGGTGCCAAGGACTAATGCTGGGTATACTTTAATGTGCCAGCAACGCAGCTGCAATCGAAAAAGGCTCAAGGGACACAGAATAAAAATGCAACCCCGACCCACAGCATCATGGAATTATGATTACGCATTATGATTATGGAATTATGATCACGGAATTACGGAATTATGCACTGTACACAGTGAGACCCCCACATGCGGACACCTTGACCTGCAGACAATTTGACATAGGGACACTTATATTCCTATAAAAAAATTAATAAATAAAAAAAGGCCCGACATGAGGACACTGACTCGACATAGGGACATTCTGTAATGAAATTACATTTACATTTCAGGCCAAATTACAAGAAACAGATATTTCCAACCCTAAAATTGATGTGAGAAAAGTTCTTGAGCATTTCTCTCACCAACTTACCATTCCTTTATAAGTTTAGATAATTAAAAAATTATAATTTACCTCTAGCATAGAGGAACGACTTTTCTCCGTTCTTCGTCACTTGAATGTTATTTTTTACAGAGAATGCCAACATTTCCATGTACTGTTGAGAGGTATCAGTATTCAATTCCCCAAATAAATGTCCATATTGTGTTGAAAAATATTGATTAAATCAGTTTAAATTGGGAGACAATTTCCATTTTCAAGGAATCATGTACAATCATGTACATGGTAGATACCAATTAAAAATTATATAATGCAAGTCTAATGGGAAATTAAACTCGACTTAGGGACAGGACACTCTTGATGCACCAATTACGTCCGCATCTCGGGGTCTCACTAACAACTTCCCCCGTCCTAATTAAACCCTAATGGAAGCGGAACTTGGACGAGGAATTCAATTATTTCGCCTAGTTGTTTTTTTTTTCTTTCAACCTCTTTTCTTCCTCGTGGAAATCAAGAGAAGGAGAGAGAGGAAAAAAGAAAGAAAGAAGGGACACGAACTGGACTAGACTGACTGACTGACTGCAATATCGTCGCCCCCGCCGTGTCACACACACACACACCAACTAACCTTGTGGTCTCTGTAATAGGGATCGACGAGTTCCTCGGGAACCTTGTTTTTGAACGCCTTCCGCAAGAGCCAGGTCACCGATGCTCTCTGCTTGGCCTGCAACAAACAAAAGAATCCATCCAACGTTTAGACAAAAAACTCTTTCAAGCAACGATTGTCGAGAGATAACACATGGACATTTACACACACAAAACAAGGCAGTCAACTCTGTCAGGCACACCCTTCTCGACCCGGGCGACGACAGCCAATGAAATTGTCATTGCAAAGATCAGACAAAATACAATTTAATACGGTCAAACCCCGTCAAGACGCCCCCCGATAAAGCGCCACCCTTGTCAACCGCCAAAATTGTGAATCGAACAAATTTCCTGAATTTTAAATTCTATAGAAAGCTTTGATAAGACGCCAACCGCCAGCATTAGTGATGAAACAAAAGTGCTGTTTCCTATTAGTTTTGTCTTTGTTGCAGCGCGAACATTCGGTTAGAATTATAATTTCCGTCAAGGATCTTGTATTTTTAAGAATAGAAAAAAATAATAATATATTTTTTGAACAACATATTGACCTAATCTCAAAATGTGAATAAATTGATGCAGCAAAATTCATTTCCTGCAAGAGTAATTCATTGATCGCATAAATATTCTTTGGAAAATTTCTGAAGTGTCCATACAAAACCCATATCTCTACGAATTTCGGAGGAAAATCGAGTATTTTCAATAAAATAATTTAAACTGATTAAATATTCGATAAAATGCCAACCCCTTTAAACCGCCAAAATTGCTCTGAACAAATGGCGGCGTCTTATCCGGGCTCGACTGATACAGTAATAACATTATCACGATTTTTTTTTTTTTTTTAAACACGAGAAAGAATAGAGACACGAGGGAATTTCACACCAGCTGGTCGTCAGAGACAAGAGACAGGTCAATTAATCTCATCTTTTTTAATCTTTCCTTCGCCTTGCCAGGAAGACGGGAAAGGCAGAGCACCTGGTCGAAAAACGACCAAATCCCCACCAAAACGCAGTCAGAGAGAAAAGAGAAAAAAAAAAAAAACTGGTGAAAAGGTCGAGAACACCGTTGTCGAGGCGGAGAACCGCCGCCACCAACAACAACAACGCCTCAAACATGAACATTTCCCATTTCACTCCCCAAACTACACTTCAGTAAAGTAAAGTACTGTACAGTACTGTACTGTACTCTTGATTGAAACAAAAGTAAAAATAACAACTGGCAGGTCCCCCATACGCAACTCAATGAAAACAAGTGAGAAAAATAATCTTCTCTCTATTTCTGTCGTATCCATCAGAAATACGCGAGATTGCAGTACAAAGTGAAATAAATACACGACGAGAAAGTCGTGTCGCATTCACGTGTACAGTATCGACAACTCGTCGTCGTGAGGACTGATGGGAATGATCCAACGCCCGAAACCGTTTTCGTCGTCTTCGTCGTCGTCGTGACACTCGACACCGACTCAATGTGCAACACCCAGGCCACGACGCTGTCAAGGGATCAGTGTGACACGAAGACCGGGGCTCTCGACGTTTCCGAGATAATGTTCTCCTGTCCCTCTCATTTCCATTCGACGAGGGGGGGGGGGGGGGCTTTAAACAAAAAAAACTT